TCCCCTTCCTGCTCTCCGAAGGTAACCTTCGTCACATCGACATCAGGATACGCCAGTTTTACCTTCTTTCGGCAGTCAGAGAAGGCCAAAATGGCAGTAGGAAGGCGATAGAGGTTGACGATATCCTCGAAGGTGCTGGACTTCAGGAACCCCTCCACATGCTCCTCAACTGAGTTGTGAACCTTAACCTCCAACTCGGCCACCACCTTTTCGCCTCCTCCACCTCCTTCTCCCTCTTGTCCAACTCGGCCTCACATATCTTCCTCTTTTGGTACGAGTTTTCCGAGTCCTTTTTTAGGGTAGCGTTCTCCTTCTGGAGCTCCTCCATCTCAGCCTTCAACTTCGCCACCTCGGCCTCGGCAGCCTCGCCCTTCTTAACGAGCTCGACGTTCTCCTTCCTCATCTAGTTCCTCTCTTTTAAGCTCTCGTGATGCTCATTGGCCAAAGCATTCACGAGATTAACAGCCTACATGATCAAACCGCCCCAACCCATCAAACAATCAACAAAATCAGAATCCTTAAACTCCAACCGGGGCAAAGAGATTATACCTCCAGCGTTTGACGGACGACGCCAACTGAACCCCGGGCAGCCACCTCGTCCTTCGCGCGCTGGCGATCCACCTCCGGGAAGTAGGTGTTGATGAACCTCTTCGCCGTGCTCCTCATCCCGGAGTCATAAAAACTGGTCGTCTGCGCTCGGATGTACCCGTGCTCCCGAAGCGTAGCAGCAAACTCGGCAGCTGAGGCCGACGAAGAGTTGAAGTCGCAGGCGCTGACACCTCCTCCACCTCCACCACGGCCCCTTGTTGCTCCAACCTCCTCCTCTTCGCCACAATGGGCCCCTCCTCAGCAACCGTCACTTCTCCCCCAGCGTGGCCAGGTTGAGTGATGGCTAAGTTATCCAGTTCGGCTTGAGGCAGTAAAACCTCCTCCACCCGCCTCCTGGTCTCGCCTCTCTTCCCTCTTCCCTTCTTCGGGATCCCAGCTCCACCAGCTGCGTCCAGAAACTTGTTCATCTCTTCTGCAAAACAAAACAAAGTTAAACCCTGATAAGAATTCTTAAAGTAAATCAACAATTAAAAGTCACACACCTCCCAGTTGCGAGCTCGGCCTATATATCTCAGCCGCGTCTAACATCCTCTGGCTCGTGTACTCCATAACATCCAGCAAACCCACACCCCCTCTTTCCAACTCCCCCACATCCTCTAACTCCCCCGAGGTCAGACTATACTCGTTGGGGCTTAACCCTTTCGTCTTCCAACGACTCAAGTGCTCCACCTCAGCATCAGTCTTATCCCACTCCGTATCATCCGCAAAAAAGAATTTATCTTTCCATCCTTTGATGGAAGATGGCCCGGCGCTAAATAAACCCCTCCTCTGCCTACCCACTACCCGGCCAGTAAAGTAGAACCACCCCTTTTCCCTACCACTCCCAGCATTCAAGACGTAGAAGTACTTGAATACGGTAGCGGTAGGAAAACTTACCCCTCGACTTCGGCTATACACTGCAAACGCCACCACTAACCTCACGGCATTGGGGGTGAGTTGCGTTAGCCCCAGACCATACTCCAACAACAACCACACCAACAGGTCTGGGAGAGGGAATCGCAACCCAGCCGCCAAGTAATGGGAGTAGAGAGGCATCCAGTGGTCCCTTGGGGCCGAACATGCCCTCTCCCTACTCCCCGCCGGCCTCACCAACACACGCCCGGGCACCCCATAGTTCTCAACCAAATGGGCCAAACTACCCCTATTCTCCAAACTTGTTTCATACCCTGCCACCTCGCCAACAACTTCCTCCTCGGGGTTAAAGCACGGCTCTCTTCCATCCTCCCTCTCCAAAATGTTCGACGGCACCCCCAAATCTCTACTCTCTGCTTCCTCAACCCTTCCCCTCACTCTACCGTCACTCAGCGTCTCTTCAGAAGACATCCTCACAACAAAGAAAGGTAGAAAAAGACACTCGAATGCTCGCAAATTACCTGGTCTCTGCGAAAACGAACGAACAGCGATTGAATGCAGGAACACCGGTGACTTTTCCAAAAAGTTAAACAGCAAAATGTCTTGAGTTTTTCCAACTCCACATATATATACATAACGGCAAAGCGTACGTTGACGGTCACGGTTGCCTTTCTTAAACCGTCACGACTGCACCCCTTCAAATTCGCCGTTTAATTTAACGCCGCGTCCCTTCGAATGTGACGGTTACTTTTCGCAGGCAATATTTATTACTGCACGCTTTCCCATAACAGCTGTCGTCCGCTGCATTAGCCAGACTTTGTATTCCATAAATAGGCCCATTTTAGGCCCATTGTAAACCACTCAGCAGATATACCACACGAAAACTGTCAAGTCACAATTTCATCTCGGCTACGGCCTCAGTGACCACGCGTCATCTATGACCACGCGTCACCTATTTCATCTCGGCTACGGCCTCAGTGACCACGCGTCATCTATGACCACGCGTCA